GGTTTGGGGGACAGGGGTTTGAGGGGGTTAGGGGCAGGGGTTATGTCATTCCTCCACCAGCCTTATTATCATTATTTTTTTTTTTTTTTGTGTGTGTGAAAATGCCAGATCTTTTTCTCTGTCTTTCTCATTTTTCTTTTTTTTCCCCCCAATATCTCTCTTTATTTTGTTTAATCATATGATATCCTTTCATGGCTTTTCTCTTTTTTCTCTCTCTCTCAAATGAAACTATTAAGTTTGTAATAAAAAAGATATAGTATATATGTAGCAGTATTAATTCTTTTGCAAGTGCACAGAAAGGCCACACACACGTATAGCAAGATCAAAAATGATATTGAGAGAATACTTGACGATGGAATTATTATTATTCTTTAGTATTCCTCTTTTTATGTTTTAAATATTCAAGATATCAGTGATGGTATTTTGAAGTTAAAACTTAAAAACTTATATCGACTCACCTTAGGGAGGGGGGGCTATATTCTCCTCCTGTTTAGTGTGTATTAACCATTTCCTTCTGCTGTATATTCTCATTACCTTTGATACTGTACCTTTTCATGTGATTTATTTATTTATTCATGGATATTAGGTTAAGAGGAGTTAGTATTGCTATCCTTGTTTATTATTGTATTATTATGATGATGGTTCTTATTATCGACATTATTATTATGATAAAAGATAATGACATTAATGATAATCATATTCCTGATGATGATGGCGATGATTATTATTATCATCATCATTATTATTATCATTATTGTTATCATCATTATTATTATCATTATCATTATTATTTTTATTTTATTATCATCATCATCATCATTGTCATCATTAATCATCATCATTAATCATTGTCATCGTTAATCAGTGTCAACTTCATTACCATTATTACCAAGTTATTATTATTATTATTATTATTATTATTATTATTATTATTATTATTATTAATTTTATCATTACTATTATTATTATTGATTATTCATACAAAGATTATGGCTCAAACAGTTTATGGCACATTGATGCTTCCCATTCCTCTGTCTTTCTGTCATTCATTCTTCCTTTCTTGTGAAATTGTACCTATGTTTCTTTATGTATATCCAGAGTACCATTTGTTATTGTGTTCTGTGTGCATGATAGTGTGGTGGGACTTTTGATGCATGAGGAAGTGAATTTTGTTTTGTATTATTTTCATGATAGGGTTTAGAGAAATGCTGGAAGAATTCAACTTTGAAAGATGAAACTTCAAAGAGCCAAGGAACTGGTTTATGCGTAAAATGAAATGGGTCTTGCAGGAATGAAAGATGGTTTTGCAATATTACTTTTATTTTTATTGTTAGTAATTATTATTATTGTCATTATTAATGTCATGGTTATCATTATTATTGTTATTATTGTTGTTATTATTATTATTATTAATATTATTATTATTATTATTATTATTATTATTATTATTATAGTTAGTGTAATTCTTATTATTTTCATCAGTACTGTTATTACTGGTACTTTTTTTTTATCATTATCATGGATATCATAGTTAATGGAATTGCCATTTTTGACATCGTAATGCTAGGAAATTCTAGATGTCTTGATATCTTTTGCCAAATTTTCCCATTATTTTGGATTTTCATTTTGCAATTTTTCAGCCAATCCTTTATTTTAAAGTTGAGGTCTCGTCTTCCTTTTGTCTCAAAGGAAAATCCAAAAGTGGCCTCGGCAGAGCACCGCACCACATATTTTGTCAGTAGGTTTAAGGTATAGGGCTTATTTACTGTCGGGCAATAACAAAAATGCGTTTTAGTTCTCAAGTAAATTCACAAGTGATATATATCAGTAAGGGACTCATGTACAAGTTTTGCGAGAGGCGGAAACGTGCGTTAAAGTTGAAACTTTGTATTGATTTAGTTAGCTGTCATATATGTAGGTTCAGAGTACTCTGTAGTTTATTTTTATGAGCTTGATTTACCTTTCTCTCTCTCTCTCTCTCTCTCCATATATATATACATATGTGTATATAGGTTCACAATAGCCAATATTTATTTCTCCATTCTGCTTATTTGAATTAAGTAACTAGGATTTTTCTATATTTTGTCCTTTCTTTTGTATGAATGATACAGATTAAACAAATGAAAGAATAAGTGATGTTTTAACCCCAGATTATGTGGTTTATGAGTAAAGAAAAGTGAGGCTGTAAATAAGTTAATAGATGTATTTATGAATATATATATTTGTGTATGTATATGTATGTATGCATGTACAGAATTGGAATTACATATCTGAAATGTAAGGCTTATAGTTTGACGATGCCAGAAATAACTAAAAAAAAGAAAGTACATACTTCTAAAGATGCAAATGATAATACTTTATTATTATTATGATAATTATTACTATTGGTAATATGTCATCCTTATTGTTGTTATTATACTTGTAAGTACTATTTCAGTATCATTATTTTATTATTACATTAGTGTCATCATCAATACTGATATATTGACTCGTCAGATCAACCATGTGTAATGATGTATTTGCATATTTGCATATTACATCTCATATATTATTTGTATGTATACATCAATGTGTTTATTTCATCACTTGCTGGAAATGATGTTACATATATCCCAAGAACAGGCAATATTAAGTGTCATTGTTCCAGAACATGTGGAGAAAGAAGAATGCATAAAAAATGTAATGAATATATACGACCATATATATAGTATAGCAAAAGTCTTGGTTTAGATTCATGTATTGAATAAAAGGGTAAAAAGACCCCTTTATTGTGTAGTCGATTTTCAAGTCCGTTTCTGAGCATTGGTCATGCATATGTCATTATTATGGTTATTAATAAACAAATTGAATTTTGAGACTAGGTTAATTTGGTGGGAAGTATTTTGATTTTTTCATTCATTTTAATCGTTTTTTTCCCTCTGAACTTTTTGTTCATCTGTTGTCACTCAGGATTGAAAGGATATGTGATTAATCACTGAATTGTGTGCTGTTTTTTATTTAAACTTTTTACCTGTCAGTTATTGAAATGTGAACTTAAGGGTAATGAATGCCTTTTTCAGGTGTTAATATCGGGGAAGTTGCAATTGCTAGGGGATAATTTTAAGTTAGTTTCATCACAGGGTTTTCATTGTCACACACTGTCCCTATCTGATTATCCCTCTCAGACAAGTGGAATGTAGGCATAGTTCAGGCTATTGTATAGGGTTTTATAATATTGGAAATTTCTCTCTCCTCTCCTCTCCTCTCCTCTCCTCTCCTCTCCTCTCCTCTCCTCTCCTCTCCTCTCCTCTCCTCTCCTCTCCTCCTCTCCTCTCCTCTCCTCTCCTCTCCTCTCCTCTCCTCTCCTCTCCTCTCCTCTCCTCTCCTCTCCTCTCCTCTCCTCTCCTCTCCTCTCCTCTCCTCTCCTTTCCTCTCCTCTCCTCTCTCCTCTCTGCTCGTCTCCTCTCTCCTCTCCTCTCTTCTCTCCTCTCTTCTCTCCTCTCCTCTCCTCTCCTCTCTCCTCTCTCCTCTCTCCTCTCCTCTCCTCTCCTCTCCTCTCCTCTCCTTTCCTTTCCTCTCCTCTCCTCTCCTCTCCTCTCCTCTCCTCTCCTCTCCTCTCCTCTCCTCTCCTCTCCTCTCCTCTCCTCTCCTCTCCTCTCCTCTCCTCTCCTCTCCTCTCTCCTCTTCTCTTCTCTTTCTAGTCCACTTCCACTCTCCTTTTCTCTCTCAATTATATTTATGAAGGCATAATATGTACATTTACTTTACTGATCTTGCCTCTAATAAGGGATTATTTGTATATATGTTCATCTCCTTTGAAACTATTTTATTTATTCAGTATTTAGTTTATATACAGGCAGTTATGGTTACAAAAAACCTTTTAATTTTTGCTCAGTTAACTAAGAGATTATACAAAGCTTTAGTATGCATTAAGGGAAGTTTTTGGGAACTCAAAGCAGAGTTCAGTGTAAACTGATTTGTCCTTGTTATTTAGAAGAGATCAGGAAGACAGAAGATGTGTAAGGAAAGTTTATCATAACCAGATGTTCGAAGATACACTAAAACAGTAGCGAGATTTGTTGATAACTTTTAATCGCTTTATTTTTGTTGTGTCTTTCTTATGCATTCGGCATATGCAGATGATGTTGGATGGCTGTTCAGATAACTTTTGTTCTGGATCCAGATCAAAGAATACTTGATAGGTTTGATGCTTTACGATACATACTGTTGATATTAGTACTCACCTTGTTGAATTTCATTGCAATCTAAAGACCTTCACAATTAGAATTTTTTTGTATTGTTTTGTTTTTCTCCATTAGTTGGCTTTAAATAGTGTACGGATATATATATTCTTTAAATTTCAGTAAATAAATAAAAGTCAGACACCTTGGTTGAATAGCCACCATGCTTCTTCAAATGTAGAACTCAAAAGAATAATTCAATGTTTTTTTCTTGCATTAGCTTTTGTTTATCATTGAATGAAGAATTAAATAGGAAAAAAGTGTAAAAATAGCTATCAACCAAGAAAATGGTATTGATTCTTTTTATATTTCTTTAATAATAGGTTGCTGAGCTTTAAGCACATGGAAGAGGGGAAAGACCAGGTTTCCTTGATTGAATAATGTGCCTTATTATTGCATGCCAAGATGTTTAATTTTGGTCAAAACTGAGTAGACATTTCTGTAATGGAGGGATTGTTTATATTTGAGGAGATAGTCGTATAATTTGTCTTTTCTCTTAGTTGTCGTATAATTTGTCTTTTCTCTTAGTTGTTTCTCCCTTTCTTTCCTTTTAAATAAGAGATACGAGAAAAAGACGAATACCAGATTGACAGTTTGTGATGGATATGTATACCTTAGCTTAGACATGCCATTTCAGTGTTATTTGTTTAAGCTTTTTAAATTTATTTTTTTATTTTCACATTCAAGAGGAAGCCTTTTTTTTCCCAGTTATAATTTGAGTCGGGCTCTTCTGGTAGGAAGTGTGATTTATGGTACTTAAGTTACTTTCTGGATGACTTT